GATTGGAAAAGACATTGTCAAGTGAGGTTGAGCAGAAAATGAATTTAGTGAGACATAGTGTGTGTTGATGTGAAGATCACAAGGTGTGTTGGGAGATGGGGTGGTCCTAGGCACTCTGTAATTCCAACAAGCAGATATTAAAGGCTGAGTCAGGCCCCAGCTCTAGGAGAGGAAGACTGAAAAAGAAATTGTGAAATATTCTAGGAAGCCGAGTTGAGTTGGTCTCAAAAACTGGTGGTGTGGAAAGGATAGTCTTTCAGGGCTCAAAACAGGATGACCTTAAACTAAAATCTTTGTAATTAATAAGATATAGAAATTACCAAAAAGAAAGTGTTTTCTGATTATACCCATGAACACAACACCTTTAGAAGCAGATGTACATATACAGCGGAATGGAAAAATGAATCTGTATCCTTTCCCTCCACCATCAGGGATTCCCCCAAAAGATGGTTTCATTTTAGCAGATCCTTGATTGCTGTTTATCATCCAGAATGTTCCATGGAGGCAAACAGGAAGGGTCACTAATTGTCTATACTCAGAAATTGAGTCTTTATGAAGAATTGAAGTCACACCAAAAGGTTTCTCCTAATGCAAACGTCTGATAATGATCTGTTGTTACCTGAAATTCTGTCAATTTGGGCTGCATCGGGAGTGAATGGGTTTATTTTTTAAATGCAAATGCCAAGGGTGAGGTTAAATCCAATTGCTTCCTTTATAATTTTTAAATGAGACTGATGTGCTGAAGAACTGGGCAGGTGTTTTGGAGTTTGAAATTACTCAAGAGGTAGAAGCTGCTCTTTCCCAAGCCTCATGTGCCTTCCCCCTGTTGATCATTGCCTTTGCCAGCCAGTCTTAGCAGCTGTTCTCTGCTGTGGAGCTCTGTGGAGATCATGCACTATGAGACATGCCACACGGGAGCCCCACAGGCCACCCCACTTGTTACTCTTGCCCCAAACCCTTTCCCACTGTCAAGAGAAGACTGAGCCATGCCTCTCTGTCTCCATGCCCACCTCAAGGCCTGACACTGTACAGAGGATGTCAGGGTTCCTGTCCTCTTTGTTTCCACCCGCTGTTGTGGCCACATCCCAGATATTGTCATAAGAAGACAGAGCAGCCTTATGGTTAGAAATACAGCCTTTGGGGTCAAACAGTCCTGGCATCGGGTCTCCACTGTACAGGTTTCTTTCTCTGTGGGCCTCAGTGGTGTCATCTGGAAATGGGTGGATTGCTTTCACCCCACAGAGTTGCTCCACTGCATATAAAGTGCCCTCAGTAAATGGTAGTTGTTGATAGAGCTGTAACTATAGCTCCACTGACCTGTTAAATTCAGGTGTCTCTCTCTCTGACCACTCCCCTCATTGGTTTGATTGGCTTTTAATGAATTGTTTACAATACAAATATTTCATCACAAACATGTTTGGATTGATGTTCCATGCATCATGAGTAGGAGGAGGGAGGGGCTGAGTTCTTGTTCTCATCAATCCTTATATATAGGGAAGAATTTAGATTAAATGATTCATCCAAGGTCAAACATGCAGTAGGTTAGTGGAGACAACATACCAAATGTCTGCCTTTTAAAACTGTGCAGCATTGCCCTGGCTGGGTTTCTCAGTGGTTAGAGCATCAGCCTGCAGACCAGGGAGTTGCAGGTTCGATTCTGGCCAAGGGCACATACCTCAGTTGTGGTTTGTCCCTGGCCCCTGTTGGGGTTGTACGGGTGGCAACCAATCCATGTGTCTCTTTCATATGGATGTTTCTCTCTTTCTCTCCCTTCCACTCTATCTGAAGATAAATGTAAAAAAAATAAAATAAAACTGCAGCATCTCTTCCCACCCATATTCCTCCAGCAGCACCCTCCTCCTTTCACTGCTCTGCCGCTCAACAGTAAGAGGACTCTCCCAACCCCATCTTGCCATTGACCAGCACTGTCAGAAAATGTCCTATTCTGCACCTGCTCCGGGCCTTCTGAGCCCTTTTCCTGACGTTTCCCTTTTAGAACAGGGTGGTCCTGTCTTCAGGAAGCCTTTCCCTTCCCACCTCCCATTTAGCATCTCTCCTGCAGTAGCCTCTGACGTGGCATGCCTACTTACTGGTTTGTTCCCCACCATGAGAAGGTAACTCTCATGAGCACAGGGGCTTGCTCATTGTCTTTCTTGTAGTTTCTTCTGGCCCTTTTTGTGCTTTGTACACATCAGATATTCACATATATAATGTATTGTTGGAAAAATGAATGACTCAGTTGTATTGGTCAGAAGCTGTGAGAATGTGATCCCAGAGTACATGGTGTAGAACATCTCCACTTCCCTTCCTCCTTTTGCCGGGAAGCTGAGGATGGAGGAGGAGGAAGAGCTCGTGTGCCCAAGAACCCAGCTCTCCTCCTCCTCCTGTATTTATATTGTGTGGAGCTTCGGAACACCCTCATTCTGGCGCAAGCTGGTTAAGGTTGAGTGTCTGTCATGTTTCTGGTCTCAGTGAAACCAGTCCACAGCAGTATTCAGCTGTTTAGAACATGTTGAAGGCAGTGGTGAAACCGGACAACAAACAGGTCCAGGCCGCCTGTCACTTTCGAGCCAATTAAGCAGAGACAAGGTTGCATATGTGAGCGTTTGTTCCAATAATGCCAGTTATAGGAGAGCAGCAGGTCATCCCGTAAACCAACTGCTTATACTGGAGTAGAAGGACAAAGATTCCGTGGGGGAAGTAGGCAAAGGAATGACAGTAGGTAATGATTATAGATTACAGGCATGGGGAAGTAACGTGGGCTGGGGAATGTGGGCTGGGGACCAGGAAGGGTTGTCTCCAGTGCACTGCCTCCAGGGCTCCAAGGTTGTTAGTCTTTCCGTGATGTTGAGCAGTTTTCCCTTGTTCTCAGGTAAGGAGAATGGACCGCGTTCCTGAGGAAAACTCCCAGGGCGTACACCTCCCAGCCAGTCAGAATGGGCTTTCTTTAATCAGAACAAAGCAATCATGATTAACAGAGCAAGGATGATTAACATTTCTTATAACTATGGCTAGCACCCCACTGTGATCAGTTCTCTATTCCATTGTTCTCTCTCACCCCTTTCAGTGGGGCACACTGGCTAAGGGCATAGACATTTGAGTCATGTGACCACTGTCACATCCAGTTTGTGTCCCCTTGACAAAGCTTAAACCTTCCGGTGCCTTGGCCTTGTCTGTAAATTGAGAATTACCTCATGCAGTTGTTGCCAGTATTAAATAAGACGATCCATGTGAAACCTTGAGCATAGGAGAAATACATGCTGAGCATTTAATTAAAGCTGGCTCTTATTATGTACAGTCCTAAGTAAATGCCGTTTATTCTGTTCATGTCTCATGTCTCTAGGTTGCTAAGTTCACTTCTGTGTCCCTCACCCTGCCCCATGTGCCACGGATCATTGCTGGGGTACAACTTTGAGGGAGGTGTGAGTAGAAACCCAGGACGTTTGGATGGAAGTTTAGCATGTAATTCTGATTGTTCACTATAGAGGGTGCATACTTTGGTGTGAGATTTCTTTGAGTTTGATTTAGTTTGGTGTTGGTGATTTCCACAGGGGAAAATAATTCAGAGGCATTAAGTGTCACCACTGGGAATTTGCCTGACTCTCTCCAGGAAGCAGAACTCTCATCAGTGGGGATGGAATAGGGCAGCATCTGAAATGTGCACTAGGAAGTGAGCAATCCAAGCTTGAGTCTTATTTTCGGCTGCTCCAAGGAACAGAACTGGGCCAGAGGGTGGGCACTGGGGTCAGATTTTAGTTCCGTGTAAAAGGTAATGGAAACAGTTCCCCAAGCTTCACCACCTCCCCAAGGCAGTGCACTGAGTGCTGGCAGGGAGGGCCCTCTCAGCTGTGCTCCTACCAGTGGGGAAATTGCAAACTCAATAAAGAAAGTACATTTTTGTAAGTAACCTACTATGTAAGACAATGAAATTTGAAATACATTCCATGAAAAAAATTGACTGTTGCGGAACATGATAAAAGTTGCAAAAAAGTTTTCGTTGTCAAGCAAATTTGGTATGTGCAAAACAACTGTAAAAGATTAGGGGGAAATGTCAATAACCTGGAAGGACTCTGCTCAAGTTGCTTTTCAAGTGGCAAGTTCTTGCTCTCCTTTAAAGAAAAAGACCTAGTTAATCATAGAGAACACCTTGTAGCCGGGGTTAACTGAAGCATGCAAACAGGGACCAGCAAGGTCAGAGAATAGCTTTAGCCAGTGCCAGAGGCTTACAGATAAACACACTTTCATATCTTTTTAAAAATGTTTGTGGCATGTAATATTTTTAGTATATACATTATTATAAGTACATATTAATAGTATATGTTAAGATAGTGTTATGTATATGGTATTTTTAAAATGAGTTTCCTACTTGAACGGACTACTCTATCAACCAGCCAACTACTAGTATGGATCAGGTGAGGGTTTCTGCCGTACTAACAGATGGAGTGGTCCAGTAGGTTTTGTTGACTCCTAGAAGACTGGTCTGTCAGCTTTGTTTCGTAAGAGTAGAAATATGACACAGCTATGTTAATAACTATGTTAATAACACTGTTACCAAAATAACCTGCATCTTTGGATTCCATTTCCCATAGAATGTCTTCTTATAGTCAAACTGACTTTCCAGAGTTTTGATCACGTGGCTTTTACTCTGCCTTCTGAATACTGTGTAGACATAACTGGAATTGTGGGTTGCTCTGGTTTTCCCGGAGCTCACAGGCAGAGGAGGGGAGTGGAGAACAGGAATGGAGGAGGCTAGGTGAGAAGTTGGAAGGCACATTTGAACCTTGGGGCTTGCTATTTGGTTGACTTGTAGGCATCAGGCATCCAGGTGCAAAGATGGGAACAAATGCAGATCCTTCTAAAACATTGGTGACTTTTAAACTTCATGTAACTTTAGATTTCCAGTTAGTTGTTACCTTCTATGCAAATTGATGGTTGAGAATGCATCGCATTAATCCCGTAGCAACCCATAACCTGAACACGCCTGGCTCTTGTTTTCACAGGTGCTGGGGCGATGTTTCCTGACTGTGGTGCAGGTCCACTTCCAGTTTCTGACCCAGGCGTTACAGAAGGTCCAACCAGTGGCCCACTCTTGCTTTGCGGAGGTGGTTGTGCCCGAGAAAAAGAGCAGCAGCAGTGGCGGCAGCTTGCCCGGCATGGGCCACACACCTGAACTGGAGGAAGCTGTGCGGTCCTGGCGGGGGGCTGCTGAGGTAACCCTGGCCTTGGGGAGATGGCTGCCCTGTGTTCACACAGGAGAGGCCTTTGCCTATGGTTCTTAAAGGAACCTTTTTATTTAGAAATGTGAGTTTTAAACTGTTATCAGTAGCTTGGTCATTCATTTAACAGTGAATGTGTTTGTAATGCCCACTTTGTGTCAGGCATGCACCAGGCACTGGGGTGACAGCCTCTTTCACATCCTCTTGGAGAAGGGGCTTCCAGAAACTGCTGAAGGGCTGTGATGGAGGTACTTGGGAACCCAGAAGAAGGGGCCTGCCACCAAATAGGATCAGTGCAGCAGAGCTTCTGGAAAGAGGGACCAGGGAGAAAACTGGAGCTTCAGTCTGTAAAGACAGGCTAGAGCTGGCTGCAGAGGGAATGTAGGCAGCTAGGCAGCTAGGTGGAGATGTAGTTGGTGAGAACATGTTTCTTGTAGGCATTTTAATATTCCTTGTTTCCAAGGCAGAGGGGGAAAAACCCCTTTTCTTGTTTTGTTTTGTTTTGTTTTTGTTTTCTTTTTGCACAGATAGAGTGGGAGGGAGAGAGAGGAAGAGAGAGAGAGAGAGAGAAACATCGACGTGAAAGGGACACATCGAGTGGCTGCCACCCGCATGACCAACCAGGGCCGGGGACAAACTGCAACCTAGGTACATGCCCTTAGCGGGAACCGAACCCGGGTCTCTCCGGACCGCAGGCCGATGCTCTAACCGCTGAGCCAAACCGGCCAGGGCTTGTTTTGTTTTTTAATCCTTACCTGAGGATATTTTTCCATTTATCTTCAGGTAGAGTGGAAGAGAGAGAGAGAAACATCGATGTGAGAAAGAGATATCCACTGGCTGCCTCCCGCACGACCCTGACCAGGGCCGGGGATCGAACTGCAACCAAGGTATGTGCCCTTGACTGAAATCGAACCCCTGACTCATTGGTTTGTGAGCCGAAGTTCTAGCCACGGAGCCAGACTGGCCAGGGAGGAAAAACCCCTTTTCAAGTCAAGGCTTAAACTAGCACTTAGTTTTGTTTTACAGAGTAAAAGATAATTTATAGTTAAGGAGTAGTATATTGATTTATTATATAATAATCGGTTTGAATCATTCCATAATTTGATGAGCTCTTTCATTTTATGTTTTAGAAATCTTCTTTAATCAAATTTGTAGATGTGATCTTTTTACATCTTAACATTTTACGTTCTCTGATTTTCTTGATTTTATGCTCTTCTGCTGTCTTGTAATTTCTTTTGAATTTTCTTCTAATTTTGTTTGTTTGTTTGTTTGCTTGTTTGTTTTGGTCTCTCTCTTATGTTAAGGGCTTTTCTTGGACTTTATCAGAGCAGCCCTAAAATGCTCATTGGGGATCAAATGTGAGAGTGGGACCTGTTGACTTAATTGCAGGAGGCTGGGCAGCAGGGTCCAGACATTTATCTTGTCATCGTACATACTTGTGTGTCCTGCTGGCTGCTGGGCTTCACCTCCTGATCATGCAGCTCACACTCATACCCTCAGTACTTGGCTTTTGGTCTTCTTCACTCCACCTGTTGGTATCATTCATGCTGGGAATCCAGCCTACATGAGGCCTCCTGGTGGTCCCTTGACCTTCTCACCTTGATCTTTTCCTTCACCCATGTCAGTCTTCCCAGGCCTTTCTGCCTTCCTTCCTTTGCTTCCAGCCAGTGACAGAACCCCACAGTACGCTGAGAAAATAGAATCCCCTTGGCAGCGGTGCCTCCTCTTCGCACCACCAAAACGACACCCCTCCCCCTCTTCCTTCCTCTTCATTGTAGTGGAGGAGGTGCCCTCACCTCCTGTCCAGGGCCTGCTGTCACCACCCTTCTAGGCTTCTGTGGTGGAACCTGTGTTTTCTCCCTCTCAGCGTGCTCCCACCGGCACACAAGCATGCTTACAGACCCAGAAGTCCGCCCTGCCCTGCCCAGTTTCTCTGTTCGTTTCACAGCCCACTTCTTAGAATTGCTCACCTCACCTTTGATTCATTGTAAAAAATATTATGAAACACTTTAAGCTTATAGTAAATGTCACATATATCCGTCTATCTTCCTTTTAGCTTTGTCCAATCAATCTTTTTGCCACATTTGCTTTACACCTTTTATTTTTCATAGAGAAATATCACAAATTCAGATGAATCCATTTTGTTCCTCTTGGCTATCTTATTCACATTCCTTCTTCTCTAGAGATACCCTCTTCAATGTGGAGTTTGTGACTCCTGTGCATATTTGTATATTTTTACTCTGGGTGCATGCATCCATAAATAGTATAAGGTATTTTATATAATGTGAAACTCTATGAATGGCATCATTCAGCTCACTGAAACTGGCTTCCACTCCTACACAAGGACATGCCTTCTCTTGTCAAGGTCACTCTGCCTTCTGTGTTGCCAAGTCCAGGGAACCCTTTGACTCCATTCTGCAGCTCAGGGCAACATGAGCGCTTGGAAAGCCTCTCTTGTGGCATTTCTTTTTTTTTTTTTTTTAAACTAAAGGAGTTGACAATTTTAATTTTGCATTTCATAATACAAATGAAAATTGCTATTTTTGGTCCCACTACTTTCCTCCAAAACCATTCTGTCTTTGATAGGAAGAGGGAGTGAGTCTTCCGTGTCATGCTGTTAGAAAACACCCAGAGCCACAGCACCTCGGTTTCCTGGTGAAGCAGACAAAGTAATATAAAACTGATAGAAGAGGCTCCCCTCTCGAGTCATTCCTGGGCGAGTGGGCACCATCATGGGACAGGCGGGAGGTCTTATCCTTGGGGGCCCAGACATCATTGGCATGTGCCCTCCCATAGACGGCCTCATTCCAGGAGCAGGTCCCATGGGCATCATCCCAGGAGGCTAGGGCCCATCATTGGCATTGTGGGAGGGCCCCCATATGGGGTGCTGGCATCATACCAGGACGAGGAGGACTGGAAGACTAGGGGGAGGTGGGATCATCGCCCCTGCATGGGGAAGAACAGGGAATGGAGTAGGAGGCGTCTTTCCTGCTGAAATGCTGCAGTGGTTTTGTCAGTCAGGCTCTGAGCCTGCTCTTCCATCCATCTCTGACAGCTGTCTTTCACATTCTCTGTGTTTCCTACCACTGTAGAGTGTCTGTCTCACAGATGGAGAGTCATGGGTGAGGTGTGTATCGCAGTAGTCACACTAAAAGTTGGGCATGGCCGTGCCGGTTTGTCTTAGCGGTTAGAGCGTCGGCCCGCGGACCAAAGAGTCCCGGGTTCGGTTCCCACTAAGGGCACGTACCTCAGTTACAGTTTGTCCTCGGCCTGGTTGGGGTCATGTGGGTGGCAACCAGTCGATGTGTCTCTCACATCCATGTTTCTCTCTCTCTTCCTCCCTCTCTTCCTCCCTCTCTATCTGAAGATAAATGCAAAAATGCCCTCGGGTGAGGATATAAAAAAAAAGTTGGGCCCTGGCCAGTTTGCTTAGTGGTTAGAGCATCAGCCTGCAGTCCGGAGAGACCCAGGTTCAGTTCCTGCTAAGGGCATGTACCTCAGTTGCATTTTGTCCCCTGCCCTGGTTGGGTCGTGTGGGTGGCAACCAAATATCGAAAAAATGTCCTCGGGTGAGGATTAAAAAAAAAAAAAAGTTGGGCATGTTCTGCAGGCCATTGGCTGCTCCGTTGCACCAGAAATGACCTTCTTATGGCATACCTTTTACCTCTCAGGCCATCCTCTGCATCTGCTTTGCTAGCTTCTCCTCTTCAACAAAACCTATCAATGTGAGTGTTTCAAGGCTCAGTTCTCAGTGCCTTTCCCTCTAGGGAGTCTCTGTCTAGACTTAGGACTTTAAAACTGCCTGTGTACTGGGGCCCTCAAATACGTGTGACCAGTCCACATCTCCTGGAGGCCAGGCCCCTGTGTTCAGCTTCTGCTTGCCTCAGGTCTCTAGGTGTCTTAGGCTAAACTTTTCCCACAAATCTGTTCCTCCCCAGATCTTCCCTGTGCTAGCAAGCGGTGCCATTCCACACTGGGTCATTCATGCAGTAAGCTGAGATTTATCCTGCAGTTTTTCTGTCGTGTTTACATCTAACCATAATGAAGGCTTATAGGTTGTACCTCCAAAATATTATCCCAGACCTGTCCCTTTGTTTCCATGTCCACTGTCACTACCCTAGTCCATTATGCTCTCCTGACCCCTGTAGTAGCTAGACTCCTTTCTTCCTTTCTTGTCTGGCCATCCTTCATCTCTTTCCATGTAAAATTGGGTGATGTTGTGCCCCATTTCCTTAGGGTCAAGTGTGGGCCCTTCGCTATGACTTTCCTAGTTCTGTATAGTCTGGCTCCTGCCTTGCTCACCAGCCTGTCTGTGGTCACTGTCCCACTCGCTCACTGGGTTCTAGTTCCTTTGCTGACATGTCTGCCTGTCCTACCCCTCACCCCAATCTTCCTCGACTACCTCCTCCTTCTTAAACTTTCAGCTCAAGTGCTGATTTCTCAGTATCTACAGTGCTTTTGTTACAGTTCTCTGTTTCCCTCTGTGTTTTTCTCCATTTTTAAATTTGTTAGAGAAATATCTTTTTTTTAATCCTCACCTGAGGACATTTTTCGGTATTTTGTTCAGATAGAGTGGGAAGGAGAGAGAGAGAGAGAGAGAGAGAAACATCGACGTGAAAGGGACACATCGAGTGGTTGCCACCCGCACAACCCAACCAGGGCCGGGGACAAACTGCAGCCGAGGTACATGCCCTTAGCGGGAACCGAACCTGGGTCTCTCCGGACCACAGGCTGATCCTCTAAACACTGAGCCAAACGTGCCAAGGCAAGAAATATCTTTTTACTTTTTGTTTTGTTTTGTTTTGTTTTTTGAGAGAGACAGACAGACATCAATCTATTCCACCAACTGAGCTACCTGGTTGAGGCCTTCATTTTAAATTTTTAAATGTTTTATTTCTTTATTTACTTTTTTTTTTTTTTAGAGAGGGAGAGAGAGAGAAAAATAACGATGTGAGAGCAAACCATCAATCTCCTGCCTCCTGCACACCCCCCTCTAGAGATTGAGCCCAAAACCTGGGCATGTACCCTGACTGGGGATCAAATTGGCAATCCTTCAGTGCCTGGGGACAATGCCTAACCAATTGAGCCACACCAGCCAGGGCTGAATGTTTTATTAGTCTGCCCTGTTGGTCCATGAAGCTGTTGCCTCCAAGATGGTAGGGACCAGGTTTTGTGTTTCACTGTCTATCCAGTGACACCTAACAAGACCCTGGGGGCTAAATATTTGATGGAAAAATTCTTAGAAAGAGAGGCAAATGTTTTTACTGTGAGACTGCTAGGGTTCAGGGAATGGCTGGAGGTGGTATACATATATACTTTGTTCAGCACTGGAACTCTAAAGCACTATAGGTGCTCACTACTTTCCCTTAGTCCTGCAATTTTGGTAAAACTCTTACACTAGCTTAGAAGAACAAAAATTAACTATTAAAAATGTTATTTGGCCCCGGCTGGTTTGGCTTAGCGGTTGGAGCATCGGCCTGTGGACCAGAGAGTCCCGGGTTTGGTTCCCAGTAGGGGCACGTACAAAAAAAAATGTTATTTGTTGCACAAATACTATGGTAACAAAAACAGACATTAAAGAATTGAAAAAGAGTTCATCCTGAATCTCTCCTCCTATCTAATAAATCAAATATATGTTTTTCTGTACTCTCTAGTCCTGAACCATATGTGTAGATAACTTACTTTTTATCACTTACATTTTATCACAAGACACAGATTAGTTTTTCTTGTTTTTTTTTCTCTTGTTTATGTACTCCTCATAAACATAGTTAATGACTGAGGGGTAAGTGTTTAATTTTTATGTAAATATTTCAGAAGCTCTGTTTTTCCTTTAATGTTTCAGTGTATTGTTTTTTTTGGTTCTGTATTGGTGTGTTTTTACTTTGGTAAATAGGAACACCCAACCATATACATTCTTTTTTTTTTTTAAATCCTCACCCGAGGACATTTTTCCATTTTTTGTTCAGATAGAGTGGGAGGGAGAGAGAGGAAGAGAGAGAGAGAGAAACATCGACGTGAAGGGACACATCGAGGGGCTGCCACCCGCACAACCAACCAGGGCCGGGGACAAACTGCAACCGAGGTACATGCCCCTAGCGGGAACCGAACCCGGGTCTCTCTGTACCGCAGGCCGACGCTCCAACCGCTGAGCCAAAACCGGCCAGGGCATACATTCTTTTTTTTTTTTAATTCTGGAAACTCCAAATGCCAATATTCTAAGTTATCTGTCATTTTAAAGCAGATATATATATAAAATAAGTCAGGAAGTCTTTTTTTCAGGGTTTCTTAAATCAGGTAGTACTGTGTCAGGTTTGCATTTTCTTCAGGATGCTTGATGTAGTCTTTCAAAATTTCTGGCTGCCAACTTCATAATCTGACCAATCCAGAATGTCTGGCTTCTATGTAATACTTAGATGATTTGTTTTTTAATTTTTATTTATTGATTTTAGAGAGAGAGGAAGAGAGAGGGAGAGAGAGAGCAACATCTCGATGAGAGACAACATCGACTGGCCACCTCCTGCATGCCACCCATTGGGGATTTGGCCCACAACCTGGGCATGTGCCCTGACTGGAATCGAACCGGCAACCTCCTGGTGCATGGGTTGATGTTCAGCCACTGAGCCACGCCGGCTGGGCAGTTGTTTTTGTTTTTTATTTTTTGTATTTTGCTAGATCTGTAGCATCCCCTTTAACCTACCGGTAACTATTTATGTTACAGGCAACATCTAGACTAAGAGAAAGAGGATGTGATGGCCGCCTGGCAGGAATTGAAGTTCAGCAGCTCTTCTGTTCTCAAAGTGCAGCAATTCCTGAGCACCAGCTAAAAGAACTGAACATAAAAATTGACAGTGCTTTGCAAGTAAGTTTTTCAGAAGTGGCACAGTGATACCAAAGGGATAGGAACAAGGGAAGGAGTTATCGTTGTGATAGTGAACCATTTGGAAAGAGTAATAAAATAGTTGGCCTTTAAGTGTTTTAAAAACTATAGAAATTTTATATTTCTGTTTTCATTGGACTTTGTCGTTTATAATCTATATAATCTTGATTTTTGAAAACAATTTCTTTGCAGGCATATAAAATAGCTCTGGAAAGCTTAGGCCACTGTGAATATGCGATGAAAGCTGGTTTCCACTTGAATCCAAAGGCAATTGAAGCCAGTTTGCAGGTATGCTTTTCCTTCTTGTAGCTCTTGGGAGCTGCGGCATGGCAGTCTCTCCATACCAAGTGAACCAGGTGTCTTGACAGATGAGCAGTGGGTCACCTCTTCTCTCCCATCCCAACCTCTTCCAGGGCTGCTGCAGTGAGGCAGAAGCACAGCAAACAGGGCGGAGGCAGACCCCGCCGCAGCCCATGCAGTGTGAGCTTCCTACTGTCCCTGTGCAGATCGGATCGCACTTCCTGAAGGGCGTCTCCTTCAACGAGTCAGCTGCTGACAATCTGAAACTTAAGACGGTAACTTTCCACTGGATTCCAACAATCTGGGTATTAACTTGAAAACAGAGTTCTTAAGGAAACTTGAGGGCTTATAAAGAATATAGATTAAAAAACAAAACTAAAGTTAAGGCAGGAGGCATTAACCTTTCCCAGTAAACTGGTATCAAAAACCAAACTGTGGTACTTTTTGATTTCTAGAGAGAGGGGAGAGGGCTAGAGAAACCTTGATGAGAGACAGAAATGTCGATCAGTTGCCTCCTACATGCGCCCTACTTGGGGCTGGGGAGCAAACCTGCAACCTTTCAGTGTGTGGGACAATACTCCGTCCAGCTCGTCACTGGCTAGGGCTCTGGTGACTTTTTTAATGAGACATTTCCCAAGTTAATTTTATTTATAATTCTGTTCAAGTGTTTAACATAAAGGGTTTTGAACACACAGTATAAAATACTGTTTATGATGAATGTTTCAGTGGACTTTCATGAAAAAATAAGAGGAGAAATCTTGTCAAAATACAGCAATAGCCCTGGTCAGTTTGGCTCAGCGGTTAGAACGTTGGCCTACAGTCCAGAGAGACCCGGGTTCGGTTCCCGCTAAGGACGCGTACCTCGGTTGCAGTTTGTCCCAGGCCCTGGTTGGTTGTGCGGGTGGCAACCACTTGATGTGTCCCTTTCACGTCAATGTTTCTCTCTCTCTCCCACTCTGTCTGAACAAAAAAATGGAAAAATGTCCTCAGGTGAGGATAAAAAAAAAATACAGCAATAATTATGATCATTTATGGAGCATCCTGTGTGCCAGGCATTGTGCCAAGCATTTCACACGCATTGTCTCCTTGAATGATCACTCATGAATATACCCTTTTCCCCGTTGGAGAGACAAAGGAGCTAAGGCCCACAGTCACACAGCTAGAAAGTAGTAGCTTGGAATTTGAGTGTGTGCAGTCTATTTCCAGAGCCTGCATACCTGACCACTTGGTCATCCAAAATAAAGTTGAGGTTTTCATTGGTATTTACTTCTACTGGATGATTCTGTCTCCTTATTTAGAGGGATTCAGAATTCAAAAATTCTCAACCAGTTTGCATTAGCAAATTGCTAAATAATGCCGCTTTTTTTTTTTTTTTTTTTTTAATCCTCACCCGAGGACATTTTTGCATTTTTATTTTGAGATAGAGAAGGAGGGAGAGAGGGAGGAAGAGAGAGAGAGAAACGTCAACGTGAAAGAGACACGTACATCGAGTGGTTGCCACCCACACAACCCTAACTGGGGCTGGGGACAAACTGCAATCGAGGTATGTGCCCTTAGCAGGAACCGAACCCGGGCCTCTCTGGTCTGCATGCTGATGCTCTAACCGCTGAGGCAAACCAGCCAAGGCAATAATAATGCTGCATTTTAAATTAATTAATGTGTTCATGCACATGCATCTATATCTAACCACTCACAGGCTTGAGTAAATCTCTGAGGGTATCTGAAGAAATTACTTAAGAAATAAAATTCCATTATTTGGAGTACTTAAACAAAATGCTTTTCTTTTAAGGATTATTGTGTACCTGTAAATGCATTTTAGTTCTACAGATTTTAGAACTTTGTGTGGCTTTATCATGCACTCTGTTACCCTTTTATAGCATACAATGTTACAGCTGATCAAGGAGGCAGGCTGCTATAATGGAATCGCACCAAGGGACAATTTTCCTGTAACTGAAGTACTGAACCAGGTGTGCCCATCCACATGGCGCGGCGCCTGCAAGACTGCCGTACAGCTGCTGTTTGGCCAGGCTGGACTGGTGAGTGAATATGCGTGATGGCGGGCAGACAGAACAGATGACGTTTCAAGGATGTGAGGATGTGGTATGGGCATGTGTGAAAATACCAAATTATTTTAAAAGTTCTTTGGTACTACAGAGTTTAGACCAGATAGAAAAAGTAAAGAAAAGAGCAGTATTAAAAAACCTTTTTCTAATAGATTAGTAATATGTTTTGGCAGGGAACCTACTTGCAATATGATTCTGTAGGCAGGCTGTCCTCATTTTAAGGAAACCATCACATTACTCTTTTGACCTGGCCTGACTGCCCAGGAGCTACAGTGGACGTCTTTCTGTTGCTCAAACACGCCAAGCTTCTCCTTGTCTTAGGACTTTGCACTTAATGCTCCTTTTACCTCAGAATACTCTTCTCTGGTTATCATGTGACTCATTTCTTCTCAATCTTTCTCACGTGAGCTCAACTATTACCTCTGAGAGACCGCGATGGTGTAAGTAATGCCCCATCCAGTCCCTTTGTATCGCAGCTCTCTGTCTCTGTCTTATCAATAAAATAACAATGGCGACTCAGAAATAAGTTTGGTCTTTATTACCATTGGAGAGGAGAACTTTTGCCAAAGTTGGATGGGCTCAGCATCCGAAGTCACCATTTAGCTTTTTGTTTGACACCGCTAATCCACATATCCTTATGCATTTGACCCCACTTTCTAGAATTAAATGACTACTTTTTGAAAAGATAGAGCATTTCAGCCAGAGGCAAAAGTGAGTTAATTAGCAATCAAGAAAATTGAAGAACTGTTTCTTAGTCTAATTTCTACCCGATGGAAGTAGTTGTTGGGAAATGCTTTCTTTTTTTTCATATGGGCAAAGGCTCTGGTGGCCGAGCCCAGGATGGTGCTGCCTTGCAGAGCCAGGCAAGGGCCCGTCCACAGTGGTGAGTTACACTTCATTTAGGGCCTGTTTCTTAGTAGAGGAGCCCCACGAGAGGCGGAAACTGGAGATGCCCTGCTGAAGTACGGCCAGCCCACTGTCTTTAGGAGGTTAAGCCATACTCCCAAAGACCTGCTAAGACAGGGAGAAACGTGGCAACACGTTCTCCAGAAAGGAGTGTGCAGAATAAGGCAGAAGGACACACGGGCTGTTCTGAGACAACATTGTAAGCTTAAAAAAAAAAGTTCCATGTTATTGAAAGATCAGAAATTTATTCCTCAATCCCTGCTCCTTAATCCCAGGGTACCTTTGTACATGGCTGACAAAGAACCTTTAGATTATGATTCTGGTGTTGGGAGGAGAGAGGAAACACCTGCTTGGTCCAACAATGGCTATTACGTGGACAGGAATTCTTTTCCAAAGGACGTTGCAGACCAGCTGTGGGAATCTGTTTACCATAGTGGAAATGAGCTCCATTACAGGCTGGGTTTGGGTCATCATAAGCGATTCTGCATGGCTTTACCCCTCCTGATATGTTACAGATTTGATTTTCAAGTGATTTATGGTTATCTTCTTAAAATTATTTTAGTTATTTGAAAATGTATTCATCACTTTGTCAAACTCTAAATTATGTAGGATACTATATCATTGTGTAATATTAAAGACTGTCCTCCAGATAAGAGGAAATCATTGAAGGAAGGGCTGGTTCTTTATCTTTCCTGAAGTGGTTCTATTTTTATTGATGGTTGAGAATAAAATGATCTATAAAAAAAGCTTCATCCATTTCTGGCTTATATTCAGTCATTACAAATGGGCTTTTCTACAGCTTTGGATTGATTTTCTTGTGACATTTTTACCTCTTTCAAGTACATACTTTTAAAAAATACTGAAATAAAGGAAACAAAGTAATTCCTAACTAACATTAATAGTTTGGAAGAAATGCCACAAGTGCTGGCAAAGTTCAGCATATCCTGCACCCAGAAGATGGTTTCTGTGTATTGAAGTATCCCTGTGTTCGGTCATTTTTATTACCCAGTGTTGTCTCCATAGGGCTTCCTGACTGGCCTCTGCAGGCCTGCCTTGCCAGGGGAACAGTTCTTGCCAGAGTCACTTAGCATGCATGGGTTCATGTATTGGGTTTGTTTTTTAACCGTTTTTTTCTCTGATTGCTGATTGTTACATTTGTTTCTCTCTTAGGTGGTAGTTGATACAGCACAGATAGAAAATAAAGAAGCCTATGCCCCCCAAATCAGTTTAGAAGGCTCCAGAATTGTGGTTCAAGTCCCGTCCACATGGTAATGTGACTCTTGCATGAATACAAGCCTAAGCTCTGATAGAAGTTTGCACATCTTTGAAAATGTCGCTGTGTCTTAGACAAACCCCCTGCTAGCTGACAGGACACGCCTTCTGCTTATGTGGGTTTATGTTAGTGCCATGTCGTGATTATCAGTCCATGATGAGGAGGTCAAGGGGCCTAAAGCCAAGTCTCATTGACCAGTAATATAACTAAAATGTTATATACGCAGGAATCATAATGACCAATCTTATCTTTTCTTTGTTACTGCATCCACAGCTTTTTTTTTTAATTTTTTTTTTCTTCATTGATTTTAGAGAGAGAGGAAGGGAAAAGGAGAGGGAGAGAGAGAGAGAGAAACATCGATGAGAGAGAACATCAACTGGCCACCTACTACATGCCCCCCACTGGGGATTAGGCCCATAACCTGGGCACGTGCCCTGACCAGGAATCAAACCAGCAACCTCTTGGTGCATGGGTCAATGCTCAACCACTGAGCCACACCGGCCAGGCCGCGTCTACAGCTTTTAAACAGAGTATATCATTTTCTCTAAGTTACCCAGTATTTCTGTAAAGCTGAGTCCAGAACGTAAAATTTCTTCTCCACCTTTGTTCCAACAACAACTCTGGTGATCTTAAGTTCATATCAATACATATCCAGTATCATTGCAAATCACGGGACAGACTGAACTGTTTTTATTTTTAATGCTCCTACAAATCAGTAAGAAAATTGGTAAGGTACATGAACAGGTAAATCAGGAGGTGTGGTCAACAAATACTTGGAGAAAGTGTGTTACCTTGTCGAGTAAAGAAACAGTACGATGCCGTTTTGCCCATCATGTTAAATTATTTTAGAATAATAATACTGCATTTGGGCCAGACTATACAAAAACAGGCACAGAAGTTCTTGAGTAAATCACACAGCCCTTCTGGAGGGCATTTTAATATATCAGAGGCCTCAAATATGGAATATGACCTCAGCAATTTCACAATTCCACCTGTAGGGATGTATCCTGGTCATGTCCATACAAATTCAGTTATAAGGATCGGCATCGTAGCTTTATCCTTTATCAGTAAACAGCAGAAATGAAGCATCTATCAGAAGACCTTTGCTATTAACATTATCATCTGAATGAACAGTTGGCTGTACAGAAAGTATTTACAGCACATATGTAGGAATAGTAGAGGTAGTAAGGAACAGTGTCTGTTGGTGCCTGTATGGATGAAAGTGAGAACTGCATAACACAGATTGTGTTTAGACCACTTCTTCTTGAATGGTGAGGGCCCAGTGCCCAAAGTTCAGAACTAGTTGATGTATCAAGTAGGCGTTGGCACATTTCATGTCCCCAATCTCCCATCTATGTATTGCCTCTCACCAAAATTTATAATTTGATTGTTCAGATGTTATACTGTTTCCTGAAATGAATAGTAATTTATATACATGTTTTTATTCCTATCAAACAATTTTTTTTTTTTTTTAATCCTCACTTGAGAACATTTTTTGCATGTATCTTCAGATAGACAGGAGGGAGAGAGAGAGAAAAACATCGAGGTGAGAGACACTCATCCAGTGGTCGCCACCCACACAACCCAGCTGGGGCCGGAGACAAACTGCAGCTGAGGTACGTGCCCTTAGCAGGAACCCAACCTGAGACTCTCTGGTCTGTGCCGATGCTCTAACCGCTGCGCAAAACTGGCCAGGGCCCTATCAAACAAATTTAAAGCTCACTTTTCTATAAGGTTTTTGTGTTCCCCAATTCTTAATTTATTTTCCAATCCAAGTTCTTATTGAAAAATATTCAATCAAACAAATTTAAAGCTCACTTTTCTATAAGGTTTTTGTGTTCCCCAATTCTTAATTTATTTTCCAATCCAAGTTCTTATTGAAAAATATTCAATCAAACAAATTTAAAGCTCACTTTTCTATAAGGTTTTTGTGTTCCCCAATTCTTAATTTATTTTCCAATCCAAGTTCTTATTGAAAAATACTCAATTTATCCTAGCCAGGTATCTCAGTGGGCTAGAGCGTCACCCCTATACGCCAAGGTTGTGGGTTCAGTCCCTGGTCAGGGCACATACAAGAAGCAACCAGTGAGTGCATAAATAAGTGGAACAAGTTGATGTCTGTTTCTCTCTCTCCCTCCCCCCCCTTCTTTTCTCTCTGAAATCAATCAAGTTTTTTTAATTCTTTTCTTTTTTTAAGGTTGTTGGCATTTATTTATTTATTTATTTATTTATTTATATTTTCTTTCTTGATTTTTAGAGAGGGGGAGAGGGAGAGAGAGATAGAAACATCGATGAGAGAGAACATGGATTGGCCGCCTCCTGCATGCCCCCCATTGGGGATCAGGCCCACAACTGGGCATGTGCCCTGATCAGAAATCGAACCACCAACCTCCTGGTGCATGGGTCGATGCTCCACCAACCACTGAGCCACACTGGCCGGGCTGATTCTCTTTTTATAAAAAAAGAAAGATAAATATTCAATTTAACCCGGATTCTCATTTTGAAAAAAACAGATTGAACTTTTGTATAACTGGGGTAAATATAAACAGCTAGTACTGAAATGGTTAACACTTTAGTTTACTTCAAAACTGTATGATTGATTTCCTTTGTAATTCATTTTACCTCCTTGAAAGACCTTCTGGGCTATGATTCCTTGGAGAGGCTCCCTCTGCTGGTTGCTTTTGGTAAAAATATGAAGGTTTCTTGTTTATTTTAAGTTGTAAAATATGTGCTTGTTCAAAAAAAAAAAAACAGAAAACAAGCCCTGGCTGGTTTGGCTCAGCGCTTGGAGCATTGGCCTATGGACCAGAGAGTCCCGGGTTCGGTTCCCACTAAGGGCATGTACCAAAAACAAAACAAAAAAAACAACAAAATATGTGCTTGTTGAGACAGACTGACTCAAACAGAAGTGGTTACCTTACTCCACTGTCAAGAAAATGAAATTGTTAGCAAAGCCAGTCAAGATTTTATTATATTCTTTGCTGCCAGATGTTTTCCCCCAAAGTCATACTTTACTTAGATCTTTAAACTGTCATATTTAAGCTATCCGTTGTTCTTTCAGTAAGTACTTACTAAATACCTACTATGTGACAGACACTGCCTGGGCTCTGGGAGTTTAATCATGAGCAAGAAAGACAGGGTCCCTGCTTGTAACTGAGCTTTGTAATGGGGACGGACGAAAGAGCTAATAAGCCTAAGAGTGAAGTTCAAACACTGGCAAGTGTATGAAGGGGGTAAGAGTAGAATGATGTCTTTTGATAGAGAATAACTGGGGTAGAGATGGATAGGGGAGACTATTTTGGATGAGGAGGTCAGTCATGAAGGCTCTCTTTGAGGATGTGCCATTTAAGAGGAGCTGGCCATGCAGAGAGTAGGTGGGGAGAAAGCATTGCAGGCAGCAGGAACAGTAAAGGTCTGAGGGGTGACCCAGCATGGCTGAAGAGATATGGTGGGTGATGACGGCGGGGGGTGGGGGGGTGCTGGATTCATAGCAGCCAGGACTTGCAGGGTCCTTAAGAGACTTGGATTTTTATCTAAGAACAGGCAATAGGTTTTTTTTAATTAAAAATATTTTTTCTTGCCTGGCCGGTTTGGCTCAGCAGTTAGAGCGTCGGCCTGCGGTCCAGAGAGACCCGGGTTCAGTTCCCGCTAAGGGTGCGTGCCTCAATTGTGGTTTGTCCCCGGCCCTGGTTGGTCGTGCAGGTGGCAGCCACTCTATGTGTCCCTCTCACATCGATGTTTCTCTCTCTCTCTCTCCCACTCTATCTGAACAAAAAATGGCAAAGTGTCTTCGGGTGAGGATAAAAAATATATATATTTTTTTTATTTATTTATTTTAGATAGAGAGGGAGAGAGAGATAGAAACATCGATGAGAGAGAACATCAATTGGCTGCCTCCTGCATGCCCCCCACTGGAGTTTGAGCCTACAACCTGGGCATGTGCCCTGACCAGTGACCTCTTGGTGCCTGGGCTGATGTTCAACCACTGAGCCACACCAACCGGGCAGAATAGACAAGGGTTTTTAAGCAAGTCTGAGTGATCCGTGAAAAGAATGGGTTTAGTCTCTTAAAGGGACTACTCTCAAGACCGATGAATAATTTGTTGATTTTTCCGAAAGAGAAATTATTATCACCAGGAACTATAGCACTCCTTTCTGCATGACCAGCAGATGCTGTCCTCGTGGGCAAACATATGTGACCAGCCAAATCACAAGCAGAAGTTGGCTTGGGAGCACAGAGCAAGTGTGTCCTAATAATCAGTGATCCTAGGCTGAGAGAATTTGGTGCCTGAACCTTGGCCTGGTCCACTGGCCAAGATTCTCTCAGGAATCCAGGGGCTGGTGGGGCACTGTCAGAGCTTGCCTCGTGGCCTTTTCCAGTGTTCCTGAAACTGCCAGCTCACAGTCTCACAGATATATTTCCTCTTATACCAAAGTCACGATGGAGAGTGCTGCTGTCTTCTTAGGGTGGCTTCGCAAGTGTTGATCTCACTGTTCAACTACCAGGGTGCCCAGGAGCAGACAGACGGCCTCTTCCTGGTTTCCCTCTCGGAAAAGGTGTCTTGGTGGAGATACTCTGCATGGGCCCTGGGGACCTGAATGGTGAGGAGTGGCTGTCAAGGGAGAGCAGTCCGGGAGAAGGCAGCAACAAGAGCAAAGGACCTGAGATGTGGACGAGCCCAGCATGTTCAGGGAGTGAGAGAAGGCCTTGTTGCTAGGCCCAGGTGAATGTAGGTGACAGTGAAGAGAGGTGTGAGCAGAGAGTCAGGAGAGGCCAGGTCCCAAAGAGCCTTGAGAGCTGTGTTTCATCGTGATAGGATGCCAGTAGAGGGTTTTAAATGGGAGCGATGTGTTCTGATTTGTGCTATAGCAGGTTCACTCTGGCTGCCTTGTGGAGGCTGGGCCTTTGGAGGGACCAGAGAGGAAAAAAGAGACCAGTTGGGAGGTTGGTCCTAAGACACAGATGGTGGTGGTTTCTTGAAGTAGAGCAGTAATAAGAGAGGTGGTGAGAAGTGCTTGGAGGCAGACTACGTTTTGGAAGAAGAGATGTCAAGATTTGCTCAAAGATCGATGTGGGATATGAGGGAGCTAGAGGTGGCTTATAGGTTTGGGGTAGACTTGCTAAGGAAGTCTGTAGGCATCAGAATGGGTCTTTCGGGGAAGAGAGGTATCAAAAGTAGTGCTGACCAGGCTGCCTTTGAGCTGCCTGTTAAGTGTTCAAGGAGAGATGTCAAGTGTGCGTTAGACACATGAGAGTGGAGTGCAGGAGGAAAGTCTGGGCTGGTGAAGGAAATTTGAGAGTCTTCGGTGCAGGGATGGTCTGTGAAGCCGCAGGACCCGCTGCAGCACTCCAGGGAGAGGACAAGGCCTGGAACATGCCACCATGCAGAGGCAGGAGAAGGAGGAGCAGGAGGGGTCAGCAGAGGAGACCAAGGGGGAGCTGCCTGATAGGTAGAAAGAAACTCGAGCAAGTTTGGAGTCACTGCAGCTGCAGGAGACAGGGATCCAGGAGGAAAGAAACATGCAGTGTTGCTGAGAGATGAGTGAGGTGGAGACTCATGGAGTGAGGTAACTGACCTAAGCTGTGTGATCCAAGTTATTTTAGTGGAGCGATGGGGATGAAAGCTTGGTCAGAGTGGAATGAGAGGAGAAATAGAAGGTAAGGAAGAGGAAGAGATTATGTGTTTTGCTAAAATGGTGAGCAGAGAATTGGGGCAGTGTTTGGAAGGGAATGTGGGGCTAAGACAAGGTGGTTGGTGAGACTGGTTTGTTTGCCCAAGTGAATATCACAGGGGAGACATGGGTAATTGCATGCAGGGGTCCTTGGGAAAACCAGAGGGCAGTGTGCAGTGCTCAGGCAGGAATCGGCCTGGGGAAGAGCAGAGCTCGTGTCCACTGTGATGGGAGGGACAGGCAGGCTGCACGGGCAGGGACACGGGAGAGGTGGTGGAATCAGTGGTGAGGGAGGCAGATCTCATCTGTCTGTGTGTTCTCAGTTAAGGGACAGTTGAGATAGGAGGAAAGGGCGAGTTGGCGGGGACAGCAGAGTTCTGAGGAGAAACGAGGGTGGTGAAACAATCATCCTGGAAAAGGAAAAAGTTAACTTACGGGAAGCTGTGTTTGTAGCTTACCTGAAATTTGCAGTGAGTCCAGGGGGCATACCGTGCAGGTTTGTTCCCTCTGTTGACCCTCAGTTTCTTGGGTGCAGGCGTGAAGAGCTGTAGAGGAAGTGGGGCAGGCGTGTTGTAGAAAGAGTTTGCAAAGGGCTAGACATCGTGCCAGCCCACAGAGTCTCAGCGGGGCGGGGGTTGGGGGGGGGTCGGACCAGAGCCGGTGTTGGACAGGGAGAGGCCATTAGGAATTCTAGGTAGTTAGAGATCCACAGACACTCCAGACCCTACTGCTCCTCCTCCTCTTGCAGAGCAGCGTGTTTCAGTGTTAGCCCTGTCATTCTCTAAATGTTCTTAGTTTCTGAATTGTGATTCAGTGCACAAGTGTGGAAAAATGGGAGCCTTTCGTATGAGGCCTGCTTGAAACACCTTTGCCGAGAAGTGCAGCGCAGACTGACGCAGCCTGGTTTGTACCTAGGTGCCTGAAAGAAGACCCTGCTACCATGTCCCTGCTGCAGAGAAGCCTGGATCCCGAGAAGACCCTGGGTCTGGTGGACGTGCTCTACACGGCTGTGCTGGACATCAGCCGCTGGCGGGCCGGCAGGTCGGTGTCTCTGCCGGGCACTGGAATGGGTTTGAATTCAGGTCCACACCTAGGGACAGTGTTCCCACATCCAGTTTCATGTGATACTGTGATAATACACATACTGATAGTGTGAGATTACATAAGACGAGAGACTTTTGGGTAACTTTTGGCGGGGGGATAATTTCAAACTTAAAAAAAAGTTACAAGAATAGGCCAGATAATTTCTCTGTGCCCTTTACTCAGACTCCCCATTCTGTTAATATTTTTACCTTCATCTGTTTTATCATTTGAGAATGAGTCCACCAAAAGGATTTTAACCCAACTCTCATTCTCCTTACAAACTAAGAGCAAAGAAATGTTTAGAAAATATGCTTATATCCTGCGTGAACTTGATTTATATCTGAAAGTAGCTGACAGTTGCAAAATTATCTCTTTGTAAATTGTTAACCTTAGAACAGGGAGGGACATTAAACATCCAGCCATGTGTCCTCCCCCTTTCTGAACTCATGCACGAGGAGGTCCAGAGAAGTGAGGCGGCTTATCCAGGGTGGTGCACTAGCCACCACCTGCCTCTGCTCCCACCCAGTGCCCTTTCTGTCTCCAGAGCTCTCTTTCAGTCCTGGAAAAGGGTGCTCGTGACACTTTGGAAGTAACAACCCTCAGTTCTTGGCACTGTCTGTGAATCAGTTCCAAGGACAGCAGGGCAGCTGAGCCTGCCCACTCACTCCTCTTTGCTGTGTGGAGTTGCCCCTTGTCCCTCTGCTGCATCTGCATACTCAGTCTCTGGTCTCCAGGCACACAGCAGGCCTCTGCCAGTTGCATCCTCACCTCTAGCCTTGCTTTGCTGTCCTGTTCTGCAGTTCAAGGGTTTTGCTCAGAATCCTCATGTGGTTTTCGGAGCCCTGTGTTAGACACTATAGATTTTTTTATAATAAATGTAGGTAGTCAGTACTTAAATTATGTACACTTAAAATTCTTGGGTGTTCATTTACTTATCTATAAAATAAGTGAACCTAATACCACCCAAAGAGATCTTTTTTGTTCTTCAAGTCTTTCTTAAATACAAAGGGATCCATTTCATTGTCCAAGTTGTATATTTGTCTTTTTAAAAATATACATTTCTGTTTAGGGAACAAGCTTTACCCTGCATACAGATCCAGCTTCAAAGGGAGATCTGTGATTTTGGGAATCAGGCTGACCTGCCTTCTGGAAATGGAAACAAACCCTCGGGGGGCCTGCAGAAGACCTTCTCCAAATTGACGTCCCGGCTCACTAGGAAAGCATCATGTACCAGCTCCAGCAGCAGCACAAGTTACTCCATCCTAAGTACCCCTTCCAAAAATACCTTCATAGCTGGGTGTGCAGAAGAGAAAGCCAAAGTGCCCAGTAATATTGATTCAAGGTTACAAAGCATTTTGAACATTGGTAATTTTCCCAGGACTACAGACCCTTCACAGTCAGCTCAGAATTCCAGTAATCAAATGGCCAATGGTTTTCTCATGGAGAGGCGTGACAACTTTCTGCAAGGGGATGATGGCAAGGACGACAAGGGTATGAACTTACCAACCGATCAGGAAATGCAGGAGGTGATAGATTTTCTCTCGGGCTTCAATATGGGCCAGTCACATCAGGGCTCCCCGTTAGTGACAAGGCGTAATTCTGCTGCCACAGCCATGGTGACCGAACAGAAGGCAGGAGCCATGCAGCCACAGCAGCCACCACTGCCCGCGCCCCCTGCACCGCGGCCACCCCAGGCTGGGGCGCACACACCTCTTACACCCCAGCCAGGCCTGGCACCTCAGCAGCAGTCCCCAAAGCAACAACAACCCCAGGTCCAATACTACCAACACTTGCTCCAACCCATTGGACCGCAGCAGCCCCCACCCCAGCCTCGGGCTCCTGGGAAATGGGTGCATGGCTCATCCCAGCAGCCAGCACAGCCCGTTGGAGCGGGTCTGTCTCCTCTTGGCCAGTGGCCTGGCATATCTGATCTCAGTTCTGACTTGTACAGCTTGGGTCTGGTGAGCAGCTATATGGATAATGTGATGTCAGAGGTTTTGGGGCAGAAGCCTCAGGGACCTAGAAATAACACCTGGCCAAACCGTGACCAAAGTGATGGAGTCTTTGGAATGTTGGGAGAGATTCTGCCTTTTGATCCTGCAGGTGCGTGAGTCCCCCTCCTCTCCTCAGGGTTGTAACATAAATGTAATCACTGAGTACTTCCTAAGGCCGCCTGCCACAGCCTTACTTGTTGGGAGGAGTGACTTTAAAGACCCTTTCACCTCTCCCACATTGATGTTTCTCTCCCCTCCTCCGTTTCTCTCTCTCTCTCTTTTTAAACTTATCTTTATTATTGAATGTATTACAGTGGTCCCCCGTTTTCTCCCCCATTGACCCCCTCCTTCCCAATCCCGCTCCCCCTCCTGCCTCCCCCCCACACTGTCTGTGTCCATTGGTTATGCATATATGCATAGTAGTTCTTTTTAAAACAAGGGAAATAAGAGGGATAGCTTCAGAAAAGGATGATAAAATACATCTCTTTGCTGGCAATAGAATTGGTCAAAATAAACAAATTCTAGAATCAGTAAACAAATCTGGTAAGGTGGGTAGTTGCAAGATAAGTATATAGAAACTACTTTTTTCTCTAATTTAGCAAAAGGTATATAGAAATGGGAAATATATTTCATTGATAAGGGAAGTACTGTGAAATACTGTAAATAAGTATTAGCCACCAGGAGAGGAGATTCCCTGGTGAAACAACTCAGCATTAAATGTTAAAGGGCAGAAATGTTTTCTTATGTCTCTGAAGATTTCTCAAGCTGCTGCTCCTGCTTTTCTTGTTCTTGTAGGCCTTGGGTGGGTGGATGTGGGGAACCTTGTACCCTGGGGCACAGGAAGGGCAAACAGCTCCGCCTGCTGTGGAGGAGCAAGCCCACCTTGGCACTGCGGGGTAGGCATGGCACATTTTCTTGATTGCTGAAAACAGTGTACATTTTTGACAGTCATATCATTTTGACAAAGTATAAATGGTGTTTGGCAGAATTTTATCACGGTTGGTACCTACTGAAGCCCAGACTGTCTTTCTCTCCTTAGCCTACGACTCCTACCAGCTTTTCCTTCTGGGTATTTCTTTATGACCTTCATGTCTTTAATGTAGCTTTCTGCAGACCCTGCCCCAAGGGCAGAAAGTCTGTATAGCCCTTATTGCAAATTGAGGAAGGGTACTCCACTGGACAGGTGACTTACTGAAGGCACCCTCTGGACAGGCACACACAGCCCCAAGGGGCATGGCTGGACTCACAGGGACAGGGCCTTGATTTCAGCCCCTACTCGCCCCTCTTGTGGGCATGTCCATAGTGCACAGATGGCACGGTTTCATGCAGTGGTCCTGTGGCAGTGCCCTGAGAACAAGCTAACAGTGGGATTGTGCTTTAGTATCTTTCCCAACCTGAAGCTAAAACATACACACTGCTGAGTCATACTCAGTTTGTGACCCATAGATATTTTCCTGCCATCGTTTTTGTTGGACTCTCTCTACCTTTTGTGCTGTTTTTTCTCCCACTTTTACTGCCCTGAACATCCTTACTCAGCTCTGTCCAGTGTGTTTAATACATTTCACGTTATTACCAGTCCTGTTATCTTCAGACTGAATGAGCAAGTTTGCCGTCCAGTATCCAGGAAACTATGTGATCAGAGTTGAGCCCAAGTGGGAATGGCGTATATTCTCTGTCTGGCTGCCCTGATGCTCTGATAACTTCCAAGTTCTCAGTTCACTGGTCATCATCTGATTTTCCAAGTTGTTACGTATGTAGCCTTAGACATTGGAAAATCGAAAGTTTTTATCTTTAGTATTCAGCCATGGGTAAAACAAACCTTTTGTGTTCTCTCTTTCTGTCTTCCATTCACATTCAACCTGCCTCTGTCCTGGGCATAAGCCTTCCTGACAGCCCCAAGCACACACCAGAGGTGAACTTCAGACCTGTGTGCCAAAGCCCCATGTCACCATTGCAGACTGCCAGGCACATCCTGCCACCACCTCGGCCACAGGCTGGCAGCTCCTCCCCACTCTTCACTGTGTGTGTGACCAGCAGCACATCCTCAGAATGCAGCAAAGGAATGAGGTCAATTTGGCTCCAAACTCTGTTTATCCCTTTGTCTTAACACAGTGGGTTCGGACCCCGAGTTTGCACGCTACGTGGCAGGAGTGAGCCAGGCGATGCAGCAGAAGCGGCAAGTCCAGCATGGTCGCCGCCCAGGCAACCCCCGGGGACACTGGCCCCCCATGGACGATGCCCATCGGACCTGGCCTTTCCCAGAGTTCTTCACAGAAGGGTGAGTGCTGGGCGTGGCGGTAGAGCCAAGTTGGGGTCTCGGTGTCCCCCGTGGGGCCTCTGTGCATGCCTGTCAGGCAGTTCAGTTCCAGGCACACACGTAAGAGTGACACACGGACAGATCTTCACAGGGCAGAGCTTTTTGAGTGACTGTGGGATGCCAGGTGGCATGAGGTGTCCCTGTGAACACACCATTGGTGTAAAATTGATTTTCAAGACAGACTCTACCACCCCTAGACAAGGGTCTTATGTGGTGGTGCTTAGAAAGACACCGCGTGTTTAACATAGTCTTTCTGCTGAAAGGGGCGTGTCTGTGAAACCCATGTGATTTATGGAATGTGATCCCTACAGCTTACAGAAGGCAAAGGTATATGGTGCAGATTCCAATGTATGGGGAGAATTGTGGATTTTCATTCTAAATCAACTGGGACTTTTTCACATCTCATTGCTACCTGGTTAATAAATCTGGATAGCTAAAGACCACCTCAACTCCTTGTTTGCTCTCAAATGAGTTTCATGTGTAAGCTACAAGCTCCTGAGAGGAATGAAGGGCAGTGATGCATGTGCAATACAGCCGAGCCCTGAACAACTGTAGGGACACCAACCCACCACACAGTCACAGGTCGGCATGTAATTGAAGTTGGCAGACCTGCGGATGAGAGACAAGAAACCACTGGCCGGTTTGGCTCAGCGGTTAGAGCGTCGGCCCATGGTCCAGAGAGGCCCAGATTTGGTTCCCACTAAGGGCACGTACCTTAGTTGCAGTTTGTCCCCGGCCCTGGTTGGTCGTGCTGGTGGCAGCCACTCGATGTGTCCCTTTCACGTCGATGTTTCTCTCTCTCTCTCTTCCTCCCTCTCCCCCTCCCACTCTATCTAAAGATAAATGCAAAAAAAAAAAAAACAACCATGTCCTCCGGCGAGGATAAAAGAAGAATCCACTATTTGGCTGTGAGAGGAGTGCAGGGTAAAGACTGTTCTTTCAGAGCTTGGCTGGGGCTGGGGGCTGCCTCGGCTGTCTAGCCAGGCTCTGCGGCTACAGGAGGCCCGGGGCCCTTCTCTCTTTGCCTTTCAGGGATGGCCTGCACAGCGGCTGGTCGGGTACTCAGGGAGACTCAGCCAGCTCTAGTGATGAGACGTCCTCTGCCAACGGAGACAGCTTGTTCTCCATGTTTTCAGGGCCTGACCTCGTTGCTGCCGTCAAGCAGAGAAGGTAGGAAGAGATTTCTAAATCAAAGGACAGAGGGGCCCGTGAATGGAATCCACAGCTTCTTCCCCTGGACAGCTCAGGAGCCCATTGTCCCCAGCCAGCCTGGTGTGAAAGAGGCAGAGGGCCTTTTCCCACACTGTCTTGCTGAGGCCTCTGTGGGGCTACCATACGGGCTTGGAGCCCAGGTGACTTAACATTGGGTCGAGTTTTTGTTGGCAGAACAGTCTTATGCCAGTGGTACCCAGAAAATACCAGTATGGCAGACAAGGGAGGGTTCGGAGACAGGGTCTGCCGGTGTTGGTCTGTGTCTCGCTGGAGGCAGCCTTCTGTGTGGGGAGAGCAGGACCAGGATGGCCATGTGGTAATCAGGACTCACTGATGGGCTGTGTAGCTCCAGACAGAAGCCTGGCCCAGACTCCCCCTGTTTCCTTGGAAAGGTGGAGCTGGATAAAATGACCTCTGAATGGTTTTCAAAGTTGAAAAAAATAGTAATATAGTATATTCAGATCTAAGAAGTTTGCAAAAGGAGTCACAAATTAAAATGGACCCTGAAATAAGAGGAGAGTTTGGTTACAGAGAAGCAGAGACTGGGGGTGTGAGGAAGCAGAGGCGCAGAGGCGGCAGTCTAGAGGGTGCGGGCAGGAAATAGCATTCAGGCTGCCTGGGCTCAGCAGCGGTGCGGGGGCGGTGGAGAGGTGCGCAGCAGGGTCAGGCTTCATGGGTAGCAGTGGGGAGTGGGTGGACGGAGAGGGAAGGGTAGCTGAGTCAGGACGCCCAGAGTGTAGCAGTGGTGACGGCGCTGACTGCTAACACAAGAGGGTGCTCTCTGGGTGCCAGGCCCAGGTAAGCATGTATGTGCATTTTCTCACTCAGTTCTCACAACCACCGCCTTGATTTGCTAGGGCTACCGTAACAAAGTACCACAGATGTGTGTGGGGGGGGGGCCTTACACAACAGAAGCATATTTCTCACAGCTCTGGAGGCTGGAAGTCTGAGATCCAGGTGTCAGCAGGGCTGATTGCCTCTGCGGCCTCTCTTCTTGGCGTGCAGATGGCCGCCTTCTCCCTGTGTCTTCACACGGTTCTCCCTGTGTGTCCACGTCCTCACCTTCTCTTCTTATAAGGACACCAGTTCTATTGGATTAGAACCCATCCTAATGACTTCATTTTAACTTAACTCTGTAAGCACCTTATCTCTAAATACACTCACAGTATGAGGTGCTGGGAGTTAGGACTTCAGCATATGAATTTGGGGTCCATATGACACAGTTCAGCTCATAGCAACCACCGTATTATACAAGTACTGTTTTACCCCCAATTCATAGGAAGAAACAGGCGCAGGGAAGTTAAAGTCATTCATTCATTCATTCATAATTCATTCATTCATATCTGTCATGTACCAGGCACTGGTGATGTAGCAGCAAACAACAAAGTGGAATTTATATTCTGCTGCGGGAAGGAAGATTTATTTTTTTATTTTTATTTTTTTATAAATATGGACCGCTTCACAAATTTGCGTGTCATCCTTGCACAGGGACCATGCTAATCTTCTCTGTATCAGGAAAGGAAAATTTAAAAACAACAACCAAATATGTCAGGTTGAGTTAGATTCTGTGAAGAAAAATAAAGCCAGGTTTGCGGTCAGGGAGTGCAGGGGACAGATGGATTTTCTGTTTTCAGAATGGGACAGGGAGGTCTCTGTCCCATTCTGAACACAAGGAGGGAGCAGCTGGGGAGGTGTTGGCAGTGGGGTGTGTGTGAGAGAGAAAAAGCAAGGATGATAGGCAAGTTTTTGGCCTGAACATCTATCTATGTGTGTGAAAGAGGGTGCCGTGAGCCAAGACTGGGAGGACAGCAGGATGCAGCCAGGGTGGAGTTTAAGACTTCTGTTTGAGACGTGGGGAATCGGAGAGGCCGACTAGACGTCTAAGAAGTCACCTGTAGTGCCACCTTTGCAGACCGTGGTCTGCAGGCAGGAGCGCTGTGGGCTGCTTTTCCTGCCTCGGAGCCTGCTGCGTACAGCCTGCCTTCATCAGCATTAGAACATGCTTTCACGTCGGCTGTGAAATGTAACAGGCTTTTAGTTTGTAGCCGCATATCCATACCGTGTGGTAAATACCCAGTATCTGTTGAATAAATCAACAAAAGGCCAGAGAAACAGCCAGTGCTTGTCCTGGTGCCTGCCACCCCTCCCCTGTCCCAGCCCTGTGATGGCCTCTGGGAGTGCACTTTCGATGGTGACTCACCTTATTCCCCTGCACGCTGTGGACCCAAGCACCCCCGCATACCCCTAGAATCAGTGCCGCAGATGCCAGAGCCAAGTGGACCGGGTGCCCCCTGGAGGTAGGCTGAACAGGAAGCCAGACTGCACTGCACTGAGCTCTTGGTTCTTTCAGGAAACACAGCAGTGGAGAGCAGGAGACCGGCACACTGCCCTCACCGCCTCTTCTTACCACAGTGGAGGACGTCAGTCAGGTATCGTGGGCTCTGCTGTGGCCACAGAGGGCTGTCTCTGTGGGATACAGACCATGAGCAAGGTTCCCAAGCTGAAGTTTTGATTTTTTTATCCTCACCTAAGGATGTTTTTACTGATTTTTAGAGAGAGAGAAACACCAGTGTAAGAAATAAACATTGATCAGTTGCCTCCCGAATGCACCCCATCTGGGAATCGAACCCGCAACCTTTTAGTGTACGGGACGATGTTCCAGCCGAGCCACCCAGCCAGGGCCCAAAGCTGAAATTTTAAGAGGGCTTCAAAAAAATGATGGGATCTTTGTGGTGAACGACGTTTTTTCCCCCCATAATTTTGTCTAAATGATTCACCAACTCAGCTGACTCAGAGCCATGTGTAGAGGAAGCTCTGGGACTGTGCTGTCCAATATGATAGCCAGTGGCCACATGTGGCTATTTGAATAGAAATTAGTATAAATAAAGATTGAGTTCCTTGCCCTGGCCAGTTTGGCTCAGCAGTTAGAGGGCCAGCCCTTGGATTGAAGGGTGTGGGTTTGATTCCCAGTGAGGGGCACATACTTGGGTTGCAGGTTCCATCCCCTACCCGGATAGGGTCGTGTGGGAGGCAACCAGTCAATGTGTCTCTCACATTGATGTTCTCTCTCTCCCTCCCTCTCTCCCTCCCTCTCCCTTTTCCTTTCTCTCTCTTCCATGCCATCACAATGAAAAAATATCCTCGGGTGAGGATTAAAAAACAGAAATTGATTCCCTTGGTTGCATAGCCATAACTGGAGAGTGGCTACTGTACTGAACAGTGCAGACATTTCTGTCACTGCGGGTTCTCTTGGATGGTGCTGTTGCAGGCCATGGGAAAGGGAGAGGCTCTCACCCTGACATCTGGGAGGTGGGAAAGATGATACATTGCCAGAAATGCCACTAAGAACCTTCTTCTGTCTCTCAGGATAACAAAACCAAAACGTGGCCACCCAAAGAACCCTGGCAACACCCTTCTCCACTGCCCAGCACGCTGCCCAGCCCAAGCGCACCGCTCTATGCAGTCACCAGCCCTGGCAGCCGGTGGAACGACACCATGCAGATGCTGCAGTCCCCAGTGTGGGCTGCCACCAGTGATTGCAGCGCCACCTCCTTCACCTATGTGCAGACCCCACCACAGCCCCCACCCCCACCAGCACACAAGGCAGCACCCAAGGGCTTCAAGGCCTTCCCCGGGAAGGCTGAGCGCAGGCCAGCCTACTTGCCCCAGTACTGACCCAGGCCAGCCTGCCTGCCCACCCAAAGCCGCTGGGGCCAATGTCCCCATCCCAGGGCTGACTAGCTGGCACCAGCCCCCAAGAGGACCAGTGCACCCCTGTCCCAGGATCCTTGGGGATGGGGGTGGTTGGCTGTTCCAAGCCTTTAAGGCCTAGCTTCTCAAACTTAGGAGACATCAGACCCCTGGAGGGCCAGCTGAAGACGGAGGTCTCTGACCCTTCTCAGGGAAATGCTGGGATCTCCGAGCTTAATAAGCACTTCTGGTGATTCTGATGCAGTTGGGCCACAGGCCACACTCTGAGAAACACAGCTTTCAAGTTTGTAGTCTCACTGTGTGGCTGGGAAGGCATCAGGCCTGAAGGCTGACTGCAAAACCGACCATTCTGAACCCTTCCCCTCCTTAACACGTTGAGTGATGACCACACCAATCACTGTATTTTACAGCTGTTTTTCAGTTAAAACATCTCCTGCCTAAAATGCATTGAAGTTTTTAAGATAACAAATGTAGCAGCTGGAGGTTTGTTCAACACTATTTTTATTTAAGCTTATACAAAATGGGCAACATATAGAATATTTGTTATCAGAAGCAGTCTCCTGGGTTTTCTGTGCTGGGCAGTCCCTCTCCACCCTAGCAGCACCTGGGGAGTGTGGCCTTTATCGGATTTACAAAAGCAGGATCATAAAACTGGTGTCAGAGGCATCTTCCTGATGGTGCGTGGAGATGAGCCAGCTGGCTGCTGTCTGTGCAGGGTAAAGATACAGGTGGCCCTCGGGTCCTTCCACGCACAGCCAGAGGCTTCAGTGCAGTCTCAGATGTGGGGGGTGGCCAAGGGGCTGTGCAGAGACACCTGTACTTGAGGTTACAGTGACTTTTGTGAGCTGGCTCAAGACAAACCAATTAAGATGTAGATAGGAATTAATTTAAAGTATTTTCTTAAATAACAAAACAAAAAACCCACCTCATTTTCAGTTAACATGCCATTAAATAGATAACATCCTGTGGATTTAGGGATATTTTCCAGCCAGAATGGATCCAGAAGAATTGAATGGTGCTTAAATTGAGAAATAATAATAAATATATCTATATAGAATAGACATCCCACTGTATATTAATTGAGGTTACAGAAGTTCTTTATATAAAACTTATTTAAATTTTTCATATTTCATCTTTGAAAAAGTCTAATTGAGAAAAATTCGTAATATTTTCTGGTATGAAAGTTTGACAGTATTAATATTTTTTTTATATTTTCTTAAATCATTAAACCATTTTAATATATGTTAACTACTAATAAATGGTTTATTCTTTCTAACTCCATATAACCTTTTCCAGCAAAGATTGTAATAACACATTTATGTTCTCATTTTTCTACAGATATAAGTAAATTTATATTTTAAAAATACCAAAAAGAAAAAAATATATATATATGTATGTATACACACTAATTATAGAGGGCCCTTAGGGTGTCTGAGCCCAGCCATCTGAATTTTCAGTACTGTCGCCAGGCTACTTCCAGGCCTCGGGTGTTGTCTTGTGCTGTGTGGGGACGCCATTGCTGCCTGTACTTAGATCCTTCACCGTGGGTTCTGAACATTCACCTCACCATGTTTACAGAGAACTATTTTGTACATAGACTTTTTCAGGCACGTGCTTTGCACCAGCCCTGCGTGGCTCCTGTCTGTGTTAGCTGTCACAGTGTGTACACTAATCTCTGTTGATGTTGTTTGTGGCTGTTTGACTTGTAAGATAGTTTTCAATTTCCTCCAGTAATGTGTCCACAGTACCTCGTATTTCAAGTTCTGTTATACTGAAGTACTCTTGTTTTGATAGTGCCTCCCCAAGACCTCACCCTGGTCAAAGGTCAGTCCTTGATGCCCCAACGCAGCTAACATCGACATTGCTAATTGTCCCATTGAGTCTGTTTTTCTTAAGACGTTTTGTAATTGCATCTCCATGGGCTGTGAGACTGTGTGAAGCCGTCTGTGTGATCTCCTGGTAGGTGCTGTGTTCTCAGCACCGCCTTGTTCTGAACACTGGTAATTCCAGGTGCTGCGCTTGGCAGAGGATTCTCTCCAAAGCGCATGTGTGTGCCTGTGTGAGTGTGTGTGTCCTCTGTGTGGCCGGGCGTGGCCGCCTTGCTCAGGCATCAGCAGGACATTGTGTGAATAGTTACAACGCTTCCAAACTGGAACTGTACGTTTTGTATCTTACTTTTAAAGCTCCTATAAGTAAATTAACTATTGGCTTTATTAAAAATATACATTTAATAATATATTTTGTATGTGTTTTTTGTTGTTTTGTTTTTTAAATATATTTTATTGATTTTTTAGAGAGAGAGAAACATCCATGTGAAAGAGAAACATCAATTGGCTGCCTCCTGCACGCCACCCACTGGGGATTGAGCCCGCAACCAGGGCATGTGTCCTGACCGGGAATCAAACCGGGACCTCTCAGTCCATGGGATGATGCTCAGTCCACTGAGGCACACCAGCCAGGCTGTATAATCTGTTTTAAATGAACTGCAACAGAAACCATGTCAGAAGCCCTGCCTGATTCATTACTTTGAGAAGCTGCACCTGAGTGGGTTTTCAGGTCACTCTGTCATCTGATTCTGAGAATTTGAAAGGGGAGAGACCACTGAAGGTATAGGGTGAGCTGGGGTGGGTGAGCAGGAAGCAAGACGACCTGCCACACCTTTCCTACTGGCCTCCCCAGGGCCAGAGCTTAGGCCTCTGGGGGGCGGTGGGGGGCGGTGTCATGGTGAAGAACACCTGGAAGGATACAAGCTCTCCTTGGACTGTGGTTTGCCGACACCCACATTCCACCAAGCATATGTGCCATCAGCTGCCCAGGCAGCCTTTCGAGGCAACAAACCCAGGGATGAGGGACCCAATATGTAGCAAGACTGTAGCTCAGAGGGACATCTCACTGGATGACCATCCTCCTAAGCAGAAGAATAGATTGTACACAGGGAACCACAACTAGATATTGGGTTACAGAGGAATTTCAACTCATTTTCATTTACAGCAATACAGCACTTCATTGAAACTTTTTTCATGAATTTAGGGAAACAAAGTATGTGAGCATTAATATATAATCTAACAGTGTGAGCGCCACTCACACTTCTTTCTGCTGAGATCCCTAGAAGCTGAGCGTGGGGACCTGCACCTCGGGACAAGATTGCTTAGTAACAGCCATGTTGAATGAGTATGTTAAGGAAAGTTCACATTCAAAGCTAGCTGGAGCCCTGGCCGGTTTGGCTCAGCGGTTAGAGCATCAGCCTGCAGTCCAGAGAGACCTGGGTTTGGTTCCTGCTAAGGGCGTGTGCCTTGATTGCAGTTTGTCCCAACCCAGGTTGGGTTGTGTGGGTGGCAGCCACTCGATGTGTCCCTTTCACGTGGATGTTTCTCTCTCTCTCTCTCTCTCTCTCTCCACCCCCCCCATCTGAAAAAAATAAGTAAATAAATAAAAGCTAGCTGGAGCCCTGGCCAGTGTGGCTCAGTGGTTGAGCGTTGACCCCATGCACCAAGAGGTCATCGGTTCGATTCCCAGTCGGGGCACATGCCCAGGTTGTGGGCCCGATCCCCAGTGGGGGGCATGCAGGAGGCATCCAATCTCATTGATGTTTCTGTCTCTCTCTCTCCCTCTCTCTCTAAAATCAATAAATAAAAAAAATAAAATTATGTCTCAATAAATAAAAAAAATAAAATTGTGTCTTCTCATCAAGAACCGTATAAAAAAAAAAGAAAGCTATCTGGGAAAACACATTTATCCAAGCGTGTTCCTATTTAACACGAGCACCTGGTGCTGTTCACTGACCTGATTCACAGCAGTGGTGGAGAGAGGAGTCGTGTAGCCCTGGCTAATGTGCTGGATGGGTAGTAATGGAAGCAGAACAGACATTACACCTGAACCCCTCGAGGGTCCTTGGAGGCCTCAGCCCAGTTGAGAAATAGAAGGGGACATACAGGCAAGTGAGATCCTTGTGAGGTTGATATTTTCTCACTTGGGGTATCCTGGGTGGGGCATCCAGCTCTAGGAGTGTAGCTGAAATTCTGAATGCCAACCATGGTCCTGGAAGGGGATGGCCCTCTGCACTGCGTAGCTCCTATTGTGATCTGCTTCCTGATCTAGAGACAAAGAGGAGCTAACCCATTCCAATGGCCAGGTGCTCAACTGCCAAAAAGCACTGTACGTGGCCAGCATGCCTAGCAGGCGCCCTACATACGTGCCTGGGAGTATGAGGACCCTCCAGGGGCAAGCTTCTGGAAGTAACACAGCTGGCTGGGCCCAGGCTTCTGCATGGCTGTGAAGGGACTGAACATGGCTTTTATTGGGAATGAGTTGGGCATATGGGCTGAGGAGGAAGTATTGTTTCAGGAGTGTTGTGTTCATTTCAACATTTATTAATGTCATCTAGGAGCCAGGACTGCAAAGGAGAGGCAGTTTCTGCCCATAAAATTCAGCCTTTTAGGGGAGACAACTCCATATTTCCCATCAACCATCCATCCTCCCAGTTTCTCAGGCAGAAATCCTAGAAGGCAGGATTAGTCTCCTTATCCAATGCATCAGGATGTCCTATAAGTGTATCTTTACACACATTTAAATCCTGCCATGTTCACCCTGGCTGGTTTGGCTCAGTGGTTCGACCCGTAGGCCAGAGAGACCCAGGTTTGGTTCCTGCTAAGGTCACACACCTCCGTTGCGGTTTGTCCCCCACCTCAGTTGGGGTCATGAGGGTGGCAACTTGATGCATCTCTCACAGCGATGTTTCTCTCTTCCTCTTCCTCTCTCCCTCCTGCTCTATCTGAAGATAAATGCAAAAATGTCCTCAGGTGAGGATTAAAAAAAAAAATCCTGCCATGTTCTTACAATCCCATTGCCACCAACCTGGTCCTCAGCTGACTCCTGCCTCTCCCTCTGGCCTCAGGGTTTTCCTTACACCCCTGCTCCCTCCACATCACCTTGCCTGTTTCTCCTGGGACTGCTCCCTGCTGGGGCCTCTCCATCAGCTCTCTCAGGCTCTACCCTTTTTTTCATTACAACAATTAGCACTTCCCTGGAATCGCGTGTTCACATTTATTTGTCCCTCACTAGAACCAAGGGTTCAGGAGAGGAAGAAGCAAGTCATTCATGGCCACATGTCCAGGGTGCAGAGCGGCGGGAAGCAATTCCCCCACAAGCCTGACGAAAGGAAAGGTGTTGCTGGGAACAGAGGCCAACTTCTAATACCGAGCAAGAAAATAGAACTAGACTTAAAATGGAATCGCCTCTCCCTTTGGACTAAAATACTTGATGGCCAGAGATTGTACTACCATCTCAAGGAGGGACTGACATTAGGAATCGTGGGGAGGACCCAGGAGCCCTTTAGTAAGTATAGAGCTTTTTATTCTCATGGAAACCCACGCCAATGTGCGGGGGGAGGGGGGGTTAAACAGACCTAACAATGGATTCACAGGGAAGATGTGGGGCGACCTCCCAAAGGGTCACGGCTGTGCAGGACGAGCTCGGGCCTCCTGAGGGCGCTGACGCCCCCTCCCACTCTTCGCATGCGCGTGCGCACACAGAACCACCCCAGACGTGCAAACAGAGGCGTCTGCAAGTGCAGCTCCCGCACCCCTGCTCCCAGCTCGGCGCGGGGACATGCGCACATGCGCACCCCGGACGTGCGCGCCTACACGCAGACGCGTGCGGGTGGGGTCCCTGCCCACCAACCTGCCCGGATCCCCCTTCCCCGCGTGTAGACTCGTGCGCACAGCCCCTGGAGAGAGCGGGTGCAGCGCCAGGAGTTGCGGGGAGTCCAGGGGGGTGTGGTGATTAGCTCTCGCTCGCTCACAGTGACTCAGCATGCCCAGTGGGCGCGCCTCTCCGGAACAGGAACAGCTCATGAAAATTCGTGGGGTGGATCCCCTCACCCCGACCTCCTGCGGGCCTCTTCAACTCAGGCCCCAGAACACCGCCCCTTCCCCCAGTCTCTCTCCCTCTGCCTCCACCTTTACCGAGCGATCCTCCGGTCTCCCTCCAGGTCCTGCCTGATCCTGTCCAGCGGCCCCACGTTAAGGTTGAACTTACCCAAGTGCCTCTGCCTCAGTTTCCCCATCTGCACTACAGGGCTCTTGTTAGAACTTTGCCCG